ATTTTTCAATTTTGCATGCTCGCGCTTTGTCATCCGCCATTTTCAATAAATTTATTTTGCAACATTGAAATAAATTGATTCTTAAAGTAGAGATTTTTAGCTTCATTTCCATATTTTATAGAACTTTCTATCTTTATTATTTACGAAGTTATCGTCAGTTGAAATTTGATGAATTTTTCCCACATTTTCAGTGTACCGCTTTTTTTTCGGGTGAGTGTATATTCCGGCTACAATAATTCTCTGCTATAATAATAATAATTGATATCTTTCGATATTGGCACATTAATTGCAAATGCATTTAAGTAATTAAATTTTGGCAAATATGAAAAAGACAAATCATATTACAGAGACTAATTACAGAGAAATTTGTTTTAAATAACCAAATTGTTTAATTCAATTTTATTTATATTAAATTAGAAAGATTATGCATTTATCAATTATACGTAAATTGCCAGACAAGACCAAAGTTTCGCAGAAGAAATGTTCGAAGGCGTTCTCGAAGACGTATATTATCCTTTTCTTCGCCTTATTTCTTGGCCAACTTCTCGTTCAATAGGTGGGCTCGAATTCCTTCATCGGCGCGAGTCGATTGTTCCACAAACTTAAGCGCTTTCACGGCTTATGCGCCGGGCACATCCGCATACGGTTTGACGAAAGAAAATAGAAGCGCGAGCGAGAAAAACTGCAGCTCCGGCGAGAGGTTGACGGGGAGAATGGAAAAACGCGGCCGGATGAGCTGCAGCGCAAAAAGGGGTATGAAAGGAAAGAAAAAGCGAAGAAATGCTTAACGAGGGCGAGATGCATAATGGAGAAAGGAGAAATCCACTAGCCGGCATGCCGCGAAATAAATACGCGCCATTTGTCTTAGTCAGGGGGTCGGTCGGCCGGAGAGAGAATAGAAAGAGGGTGGCCGGCGGTGAAAAGCGACGACCGCGCGAGTATCGCGGACGAAAACGCGAGCGGAGACGAATGGCGGGTGGACGAATATTCCCGTCGTCGCCGTCGTCGCCGTCGTCGTTCTTCTCTGTAGCTGTTCTCGTCGTTGTCGTCTTTAAAATGGTTGAGACGACGGGGCGATGTTTTCACGCGACATAATCCATTACCTCAAACGACTGCTGTCGCTTTCTCGACCGTCTTAAGAAGCTTGTGCACACGAAGCGAGCAGGGATACGAATCCATAGATCTTTACATTAGTTCTCGCCGTTCCGTTTCGTTCGGATTAAAAGAAATTATATATATGAAGACACTCGAATGTTGCAAAATATTAGTTGTAATTTGAAGAAATCGGAGCAGGTATGAAATCAATTGAATGCGTTAAAATTTGTGCATGTGTATAAAATATATATATATGTATATTGGACTAACGAATTGTATAAAAATTTAATTAACTCTCTTTTATTCGAAACTCTTTACTTATACTTACGACTACATTTTGAATGAAGGAAGCGGAAATGAGAATGTATGTTAAAGACTAAATTTTTTAATCTACTTTAAGTAATTGTCGATAAATTTTAAAATAATATTCTTTTCAACTTTTTTACACGATTTATTTTAATACAGATATTATATAGCTATTCTCTAATAAGTTACATGTTATCCAGCAGCTCTTTAATATCAAATCCTTTTTCGCAGATGCATTTAATAAATCAGAATATCGCACTATAAAATTTGCAAACGAAATTCTCGAAATATTTCACCTTTTTGCAAATAGAACATATGAAAATTCCACTGATCGTTTTTTATCGCAATTAAACGATATCCGAATGAAAAAGCTGCCTGCAGCATTGAAAAGTGGAACGCGATGCGTGCGAGCGCGATAGAACGATGAGATCGCGCTTTAAATCGCCGACAGCAACGGCGCAGATTTATCCGGCATTTTCCGATTTTTTTCTTTTCCTCGCAAAGAGAGTAAAAGTAAGTATTTACAATTGCAATAAGTCGCTATTTGTGCGATATATCTATTTATGTCATATACGTACCATATATTTATCGCGATATATCCGTAGGCGGGGCAATTCGCACAAAATTCGCAGTTTGTTCGCTCGTCGTTTCCACGCGCGACAGATAGTCTTCTGAGCAATTTGCGAATTTATTTAATGCGATTTGCAATTCCGCCATGTGTCATCATTGTCGTCGCGATGCGAAATGCGAAATAATTGGACGACGCGGTAATCCTCTTACGTAACAAAAGGAGGGAATCAAAAAGGCAAAGTTCCATAACGATCGTAAACCGCGCTGAAACCGGAAAGAACTGATGGGAGTAAGAAAAATATATATGTTAGAAAAAAAGAGAAAGAATTGTCGTCGTTAGTATTTTTACGATTTGTTCCTTGGAACAAAGGATCCGCGTTGGAATGCGCGGGCGAAACTAAGTGCGGAAAACTGCTGATTCGCGATGAAATAGGCACTTTTGAGCGTAAGCCAAATGAAAACGTAACTGAATCAGCATCGCCGCTAAAAGCAAAGTTCTTTCTGACGTTACTATAATTTTCGGAGACCAATATTTTGTATAAAGTTGAATGCGAAACGCATATTTTACATAAATAAGAGACTGTGTTATTCTTGTTCACTTTGGATGTAATTGTAATAATTATATCTACGACAGAATCAAAACAACGGCAGACAAATCTAAGATGCAAATTATGTAAAGTAATTATACAAATTTAATTCTACATTATATTTATAAAAGATCTTTACACAGATCTTTATATAAATATCATAAAATTATCAGCTGAAAAGTGCGATGTTTTTCAACAGTCTCAAGGTTGTTAGAGTCGCTTTGATATCAGTTAAGAAGAAAATAATTTCCGTCATAACGTAAATCTCAAAAGTGGAAGCCACTGAGTATATTTTTCCAGTTTTACTGGAACATTTCACTGGAACTTTGTGCCACTATATTGAATCGAACTTTCCTCGACACTTTATCGCTCTTCGCGCCAGCTTCATGCACCTTAATCGAAACTTACCGCTGCACCACTCGATTAAAACTAAAATCGCACGGTAGTCTGTAAAATGTCGGAAATTCCATGAGACGCTTTTAGCGTCTTTTAAAAGAAACTAATAATAATAATGAAGAATTGTCGTTACTTCAAGGCGCGCCACCCGAGCGTTATGGCGACAATCTGGGTTAATTAATTCTACTTAACTATTTTCCGTCTCTTTCTGGATCGTCGGTATAATACAGCTGGATAGGGCAGCTTTAAATCGCGGTTAGCGCCAACCGACGTTGATGTAATAGGGTCTGGGGCTAAGTTGCACGCCGATAGTCGGGGTTAACTAATCCTGGATTAGTGATTCGCTGTGTCTTATTAGATTAGAGTAACAGGATGTGATATATATGTGTAGAATATGTGCATTAGTGAATAATCCCTGTCTCTAATTAGAGCCCATATCTAATTTCAAGCAGCCCACATCTAATTTGTTTTCATTTTAGTTATTGCATAGATGTAAATTAAAGCAAATTACTATTATTACCATTTACAAAACTAAATGTTAGTTTATATAATTTAATGTATAGCTAGATATTTCGTCAGTTTAAACAACTTATATAAAACTATATTTAAAAAAAAAGCGTTTTAAAATTTACTCATGTAATCGAAAATCTCGTTAATTCAAATGCGAGCTTATTATTTGATCGAATGTATGTATATCGATTTAATATAAATACATTATTATGACAGGTAAAAAAAAGCGACAGTCGGAATTAAAGGCGTCGAGAAGCGTTACACAGAAAAACAAGGAAACATAATCGCTTAATATTGATCTTTTATTCCTCTCAATTGTACTTTAACAAATAAAATAATTGATATGTAGATGTTTTTACACGGTTTTCTTTACTGCGAGTACAATCTCTTTCATCGTGATTTGCGCGATACGAACAATATATTGCACGCGATGTTCTTTACGCGCTTGCAAATTTCACGATAAAGCGATATTAAACACGGAACCAGTTCGGCGGAGCGTTAAATAATTTTCCGGCTTTGATTTTGGCAAACTTCCATTTCATTTACGGCGCGCGCGCGCGCGCATTTGTCGAATCCGCAGTTCAGTCGAGGTAAATAACGAAGCGTTGCGAAATCATCGCGCAACGCTCGCAATGAATCGCAGGCAGCACTCGCTGTTTGCATGCATTAATGACACAAAGCCTGGCGTGTAATAGCCCGGCGCGAATAATCGTTCGCAACGAAGCTGCGCGGCATGCGCTCGCACGCGATGGCGATGCGGAATCGCGTTGTCGGGCTTGCACTCGTCGCTGCAAATCTGTCAAGGATTATACCGATCCGCCGTGTGTGAAAGCGATATACACGATCGACGTATAGTCCGCTAAAATTAATGGAAGCGTTCGCGTATCGACAGCACGGAGATACGAGAAGCACGTAACTGTTGCATGAAGAAAAATGGAAGCGCTGGAAATGATGCACGAGTGTATCAGAACACGAGCTTAATTTTAATGACAGATTTCCTGACCAATTTCGAGTTGATTAGTCTTTAATGAAAATGTCGGGACTCTAATAATTCACCAGTTATAAACGAGTGAAACTAAAGAGCTTTTCTGAAATAAGGCAGCGTCTTTGCTTTAATGGCGGCAAACTTGCAAATTGCGTTATAAAGGAAAGTAACATTAATTATTACATGTACAAGATATTTTTAAATTACTTAAGGTAAAGTCTTTTAATTAATTAATAAAATGCAAGAACAAACAAAAAAGTCTTAATAAACATAGATTTGCAAACTAATTGGTTCTGAAGTATTCATATTATATTTTGTAAGCTATCGCGTTTCAATTTTTTTAGAATTTTTACCTTTAGAACACTTAAAATATTCGATGCTCTCGTCAAAGGCATCAAAAATAACTTTTTAATAGCGCGATAAAAATCTTGATACGCTATATGAAAGTATGTTTAAAAAAAAGCATGTATCACAATAAATAGTCGAATTTGAATATCTATTTTACACATATCTATACCGAAGTCTTTGACGAGTTTTTGAATTCAGAAATTGCTGATGTTTTAAATTCTTTGAAATATCAATCATTCTGCAGCTATGTATAATTGCATGGAAATTATAAATCAAGAAATATTTAATTAAAAAGAATAGAAAGAAATATCAATTATTACACAGAGAGGTCTACTTTTTATGATTTTAGATTTCTCTTACTTAGTCATAACTTTACGTCCCACTTTATTCCGCTTAGAAATTCTACGAACGCACTTTGCAAATTTCAATTCACGAGCTTCGAAAATTCAGTTCGCGAATTTCCACCGTTCGAGTTTTGCAGGTGAAAGCGAGGTGATCGCACCAATGGAAATAGAGTCAGTTGACTCGTTGTCGAGCGTGCAACAATGACGACGGCTGTGCCCATGCGACGATAATACGACGCGAGGTCTGCAAAACCGGGGCGTGGCACACAATCTGCGTGCAATAGAGCATTCTGATTTACGCCGTGAGCAAACAGCCGCCTCGAATCAACTCAACTCCCCGCGCTATGCCGCCCTCTCAGCCCCCCCTCCCTCCTCCCCCCCCCCCCCCTCTCTCCACCGCCCTCCCATGCCCGGGTTATTGTCGGCTCTATAATTTGGGGTTAATTCACCGGGCGGCACTCGAGTTCAGGCGTCAAACCGCAGATCGATAGTTCCGCCCGCGCGCCCACCGGGGGCTTGTCATGTAAATGTTGCGTGCATAATACCCCCGCCTTGCGGCGACCCAGGGCCATTTCCACGGCGATCCCCGCCGCAGGCAGGCCTCTGCAGTGTCTCTGTTCATGTGTGTATGCGCAAACGCTGCTGTATGCACCTGATTCAGGTGCGCGCAGGTACGCGTCCGACATTCCGGCGGAGGCTAACTCGCATTCTCCATAATAGTCAGCTTACGGCTTAGGGATAAGACAATCTGAAAGGTGTCTTGGGTTGTAAAAGATGTCTCAGAAATCGTGATATTTCAGAGATTAATGGTGAAAAAAGTTTCGGCAATTTAAAGCGATTTATACCTTTAGAATAAAATTAATGATATTGTTGCCATTATTTGTTTTTAATTATCATTATTATCTCTATAAATTGTTTGCATTTACACAATTTTTCTAGCTTTATCTTGGTATTGTTTGTTTTTATTTTGCCTAGAGAATACAGGTTTGTTTCGGTGAGTAACAATCTGAGAAATTCTGTCTCTCTCTCTGTTTCTCTCTTTGATGGCAATTTGAAGTAAATCCTGACTATCGTACAGAGATTTTCCGTGAATATTCTCCGTTGATTGCGCGACTTATAGCGGATATACAAGGTGGATTTAGACCTATGCGAAGCACGCCGCAATTTCAAAATTCCTACAGCTGCAACCGGTTGCATTCAATGCGGTTTGCTTTTGTGGGAATATTGTTACGCAATTCAACGAGAGAAAGTGAATACTTTTTCTATTTACCACAAAATCGCAACTTCTCTTGTGACAGTTACATTGTCGCAGTTTTTAATAGTTATTTCACAAAACTTTGTCAGCATTTATCAAAATCGATTCAATTGAAATATAATTATTAAACCATTAACGTTAAAATGGAATGTTTCTTAATAACACAATTTATAAATTAATAATATTTTAGAAAATATTAATTAACTGATGCATACATTATACATAATTTATCAAGAAAGTGTAAAATTTTTTATTTAATATACCAAGTGCAGTTAAAATAAACTTTAACCTAATAATAATTAAAATGGAAATTAATAATTAAAGCAGAAAGAAATTTTTAATCGTTATATGCTTGATATATTTTAATCAAATTAATCTCATTCTTTTCAAAAATATATATTAAAATTAATTCAGGCTCCGAATAATGAAATTTTTGGTATGTTTGATTATCTTCTTCTGTTAAAGGGAGCAATATTTGTTTCTTTAAGAAAATTTCTTTCAATAACCACAAATTTATATTGCTGTTCCAGATGCAGCGCCTCAACTTTTGTATAAGTTCATCGAACAGACGATGCAACCAGGTCCCTCGGTATCGCTCAAGTGTATCGCGATGGGCAACCCTACGCCGCACTTCTCCTGGACGCTGGACGGGTTTCCTCTTCCACAAAACGACAGGTAGGACAAGTGGTTTTCCTCGCGCGACATTTCTTGTTAGAGACGAAAGAACGAGAGACACAGTACAATTCCGAAATTCGATCTGCCAATTGTTTTACTCTCTTTCTTCCGGAAGCTTATAACACCAAAAATAGACGGGTGATATACATGGGGATTATTCGCGGTTATTAACCCCGAGGTATTACATGAGATCGTCGGAAAATCGGTGTGCAAGCAGCAGTTTCCATCCGGCGTAGGCGGATCCCGTGAGAGAGCCTCGATAGGCCCCCGCGGGCTTCGATTCTCTGAACCAATTGAGAGGAAAATTACCAATCACGCTGTTCAGTCTGGACGTTTTTAAAAGCCGGCTGGATTCCGAGCGCTGGATTTAACAGGCGATCTCATAAGTCGATCGTAAACGATAACGTAATTATGTGTTTCCGCGATTTGTCGGCAGGTGATTATTGCCGAACGCGAGTCGCATAAGAAGCAGTTTATCGAAAAAAGATTTTATTTGACGACGTTTTTTTAGAACTGTTTCACACAAGAAATAAATTATTTGCAGTTAGTAAAAAATCTGTTACAATTTTAAATAAATATCAATTTATAAATTAAGTTTCAGTACTCCAAATCGCATGAGAAATCAATATAAAAACGGCACTATTTATTTTAAAACGTAAAGGTAAATTTGCTACTTTTACAAGACACATCTTGAAACATATATTAACTTGATTTGAATAATATCAAATTTTTTAAGATACATAAAAATATATTACTCGAAATAATTTCTAGATGTCATAATAAAAGATAAAGATATTAATACAATTCACAAAATTGAGCCATTCTTTGCAAACAGATTTTCTCACGGATGAAAAATTGCTATAGATAACAGCGTAGAGAGGTTCGTAAAATAGCGGCGATTTGCTTGCAGATTCATGATAGGCCAGTACGTGACAGTTCACGGCGACGTGATATCTCACGTGAACATAAGCGCCGTGCGGGTGGAGGACGGTGGTGAGTACATGTGCTCGGCGGTGAACCGCGTCGCAAAGGCGCGTCACGCGGCCCGGCTCAATATTTACGGGCTGCCTCATGTGAGACCGATGGGCAACTACGCCGCCGTGGCCGGCGAGACGACCGTCATCAAGTGTCCCGCCGCAGGTTTCCCGCTTGCCAGCATCACCTGGGAAAAAGGTTTGCCGTAATATCGATCAGTGGTTTTCCAATCTCTATATTTCAAGAAGTATTTTATTTTACGTTTTTTTTTCTTTCATTTCTTTATATAATGGTATGTATACATGCACGTGCAATAGATTGATTAATTCAGACAAGCGAATAAATAGAGGCCGGCATAATAAAATTGTATCACGGTCATAATTAGGGCATAAAGAAAATTTATAACTGTCTAACTGTCTAACTTAATGTAGATATCAATTTCTGGATCTGTGGACTTAAAGTTAGCTTAACTTCTTGTTCAAACATATCTTCAGCTCACACTATTTGACATTTGATCTCGAGATTTGAACTGTCTGAACTGTTTGATCACCTGAAATTTCTTAATACTAATCATAATGTAAGATGTTCGCAAACGCAGCTCTAACATTTAGTTTTATCAACTTGCAGCAAGAATAAAAGATGATTATTTTTGAAATATAAAACAAAATATTAAATTCTATTGAACGAAAAATGTACAAGTTGAAAACTGTCGATATAGATCGAAGAAAATGAGGTTTTGTAAACGACTTCTTTATTGACAGATTTTTATTTTATTATTTTATTACTCGCTTTGATACTTCAAGCTTTAGATTTTCTGCAAACTGTTGTCTCGATCGCAAAATTGAATTATATCGCTCTCTCGATATTAAAACTTTGACATCACAACATCTTGTTTCAATAGTGTAGTTTTCGACTTTTATTGACATACTTTTTATATTTTATTTACGTCGTCATATTCTGCGCAATATATTGCGACATTTCGACTAAGATTATATGCCATATCTGAGCTAAATTCAATATTTAGAACATCAAATTATTTTGCTATTATTAATATACTGCCCACTATGTTGTAGTCATTTACTTTTATTCGCTTTAGTTTCATACTTGAAAAATACATTTCAGCGCAGATATTTTTTAATAGTTGCAATACAGTATATTCAATGCTGCTCAGCTTATCAATCAATTTATGAACGAAACTAATTTATAATTTTTATTTTAATGAATTTTTTTTACTTTTGTCAGAAATGTACCACGTCTTTTATTTGCACGACCAAATTGGGCTAACTGGTGGTGAAATTAAATGGCCGCGGAGATTAAAATACTCGAGATGCTACAAAGAACGCATAAATAAGTTAGCGGCCACACCGCATCTTCAACCGCTGAAAAGTCGCACTTCACCAAGAAATTTCCTTCGTCCGTCGAAGATCTCTCTTGGGGAAAACAAGGTGCGAGGCGCTTTTCTCGGCCTTTTCGCGTCGACGAAAAGAGTGGCGCGCAATACCGAGAGAAGATGGAAGAACCCTTTTATTTCGACCGAGGTCGCGGCCGTCCCGAAGCGACGAACTTCGAGCGTTCTATTTTGTAATGATGAACTCGACTTCGCGAAAGTTTCAAACGATCGCTGCACGAACTTTCCACCCCAGCCACCCCGTCGACGTCGCGACGACGCGCGACGCCGATCGCAAGCCACCACCTACGGCTATTTGGTCCATTAAGGCTCCTGGTCCCGCAGCCGTGAACTCCGCGTTGACAGTAGCGACATAATTGTGGTAGGAATAAAAACCTAGTCGAATTTACCCAGTCGATTTATCGTATAAATAAATAGTGTAACAGTTTGACCTAATCAATTGATTCGATAAAAGTAAATTACTGAATAACATACAAAATGTTAATTTATAATTTAAAAATTTGTTTACAAAAAAATAAACGCGATAAATACAGAATATATATAGCTTAGTACCGTTACCGACATGTCCATATGACAGAAATTCTTATGCAGCGTCTTAGGTGGAGAATCGATGAACTATTAGGCGTGAAAAAATGACATGTTGACTACCCAATTTATTCTTGCGTGCCATTTAATTAATATTCGTTAAATGTTAGTACTGTGATATGTGACGTGTTCATGAAACCTGTAAAATTATCCGAAAACTAAGATTAGCAGGGAAAGCCCAACGTAGAAGGAGAATTTTCTACTCATACAGACAGCTGTCAACCGTGTGTTTTCTCGCATAATTAGGCTTCGTTTCACTGTTGATTTAACAATTGTTTATAACCTGTCAAGGAAAAAGCATAGTTTTCGGACAATTTTACAGGTGTCTTAAAGCGATCCAGAGTGTTACTTTGTTAAATTATCATTTTATTTAGAAATGGCACGCAAGAATTCTCGGCGTGTCATTTCTCGCTTCTGACGTCACGAATCTAATATGGCTGCGGTGACTACCCAGGAGCCTTAAGTACTATTCTAACGACACTTTTTAAGGATCTACAAAAATAGCAACTAATTTATTTTGAACTCTATATAATTTAAACTCAATTACTAATTCTACTTTAAATTTAAAAAATCATGCTGACACCGATAAAAAAAACACTTGTGATTTTTTGACGATGGGTGCTATTCAATTTTTATTTTATTGTTTTTATAATTTTTTAATACTTTACACATTATTTATGTATATATGCATGGATGTATTTAATTTTATATCTTATTGTTAGTATATTGTTATCATGTTTGTTGTAAATATAATCGTGCGAAAATCTTTTATCTTATGTTATATTTGGTTCTTTGTATTTTGTATTATATTATGATTGTGTAGATTTACTCGATATTATAAACTGTATGTTGTACAATGTTATTTTTGTGTTTACCTGCTCTGTAAGATATTCTGTATACCGAGGCGATTTCACTTCAACAACAATTTCCAAGTTGGTCGTCGGCTATGAAAGCGGATTGAACACTCGACTGCACCGACATGATATCGCCAATGTGGTGCGAAATCAGTGGAAAACCGCATTTCCACAATGCCACGAATCGCGCGACGCACAGCGTGAAGCAAATGCATAATTTAAACTCAAATATCGCACTTTCATAGGCCGTAATTTTCACTTTCAATTATAACTCGTACACACGCCAATAAAGAAGAATATTCATATGATTACTTTATAATGTTATTCGAGGTAGTTATTAAAATTTGATATTAATTGAAAATTGAAATCTTATTCATTGTATATTAATTAAGATTATAAATGTTATATAATATTGATAATTACATAGCCAAAGAAATCAATTAAAATATATTCTTTTATATGTATATTTTTAATTTCCAGTTATACTATTTAAAGAATATTAATTTTTTTAATTATCATATTACATTAACTTTAATCTAATTTATTTTAATTAATATAATTAATTATTCTTATCTAATTAATTTTTCAGATAAATAATTACATTATTTCCCAAATTTGTTTCATATATGAATAATTTAATTTTCTTACATCAGAAAAGAAATTATATTGGTATACATTTCCTCTTTTTTTGTTTAAGAAAAATTTAAATAAAATTTTTTTTTTTCACAGATGGTCAAATATTGCCAACCAGCCGACGTCAGGAGGTGTCTACAAACGGAACGCTGGTGCTGTATCGCGTCGACAGCAGCACCGATCGCGGTGCATACACGTGCACCGCAAAGAACAAACAAGGTCGCTCCGATTCGCAGACCATCCACATAGAAGTCAAAGGTAAAGTCTCTCGATCCCGCATACGTTCCGTTATCACTCACTTTTCTTTCTGTTCATACACAAAGATTTTATCTGTTTAAATTGGAACAACAATGTCCTGCGAGTGTGTCCCATCATCGTTCGACGATGGTGATCCGCTCTATCGGGATTTTCCACAGCCCCTCGGGAACCACCCTCACCGTCGCAAAGTCGATCACCGTAGAGCTGTAATCGCGACGAAGTGCTTTCACGATGAAGCGCCTAGATGTCGAATCGACTTATCGGAAGAAATCGCTCGATACATCATGTCATTCGCGGATTCTATCGCGCGCGGTTAAACGCGAAAGCCGCAAAGCTTCGGATCTTCCATCAATCATTTTTGTATTAAATTTTACTTAAAACATTTTTTTATTACTGTTTTATTAAAAAATAGATAAAAGCGCGATAATTACGCATTATGCAGCGGAGATTCATACGTCATTCGGAATAAGTTATTTCGAATCTGAGCAGCGAGCGGTTGTAATAAAAGAATTTAAACATGCATATCAGCGAAATGTTTGATATATATTTTTTTGTAAAAGAATTTTAAATTGATAGCTATGCGGAGAATAGTGAACGTTTTATCGAATATGAATTTCTATCTCGCGTATTGAAGCACGACAATTTTCCTCTCGATATACGTCACACGGCCGACAATCGTCGTAGGAAAATTTGTAGCGCTTCGCGTATATAATATAGTGCATTCCCACGTGTACAATATAGGAGTAGTAAAAGGGAGAACCATACAAGTACACGTTTTATTTCCAAGATCGAACGGGACTCCTCTGCCTCGTGCATGACTGAGAGTGCGGTGAACTTTCTACAATTTAAAAAGAAATCCCAACCGCTTCATTTCTGCCATGGAAGGCGCTCGTACTTTCCCATTCGAAGGCTCCGTCGTAAGACCTCTCTCGAAACGGGATATTTCGGGAGATAAATTATTTCGTAAGAACTTCATGCGTCTGTTCTTAATGTCTAAAGTATGGATTTATCGCCGTCGTAATACATTAATACCGGCCATAAAAGCGATTGCCGTGTCATAAAATTATGCAAATCATATTAACTTTTCAGTTATTTTAGTTAATAAATATATTAAATAATAATCATAATAAAAATGATATTGAAATATTAGATAAAATGTTTATTAAAAGTTTAGAACTGTCATAACTAATAAATTCGCTCATATCATAAATTGATTTGCATAAGAATGTTCTTCAGTGATCAGACGTCTTTTTCTGCTGCGGAAATAATTAAAAGTACAACTTGGGTGTTAATTTTATCTTAATTAAGGACACTGTTGTTCCATTAAATAATATGATAATTTTTGGATATTTTTAAATTTACACGCAGTACTTGAAACAATAATGTAATTTCGTCAATGCTACTTTAATGACAATTTCAGATGCATGATTTATAGATTGCAATCACATCGAGCAAAGCACGTAGGTAGGATATGTAAAATGTGTTTGCGACGATACCGAGAAAATCAGATCGCGCAATATTGAAACTCTTTATGTATTTCTCCCAAACCCTCGGAGTCGAGAAGATGTCAACTCGGAAAAATTCAGTATTTACGGAAATTATATTGAATATTCCACATAACAAATGCGTAAGTCCCGCATTGTTTCTTTCAGAATTCTGAAGGTGATTATTTTAAGATTCCTAAATGTTAAAATTGAAGGAACCAATGCTATCTTTTATGATTTGTAAATTTTACACTCTCATAAATTGTAGCATCATTTTTTTCTGGGTACAAAAATCTTACAAATAATTGTCCGTTTCCCGCTATGTATTAATAAAACATTTCAACATGCTTCTTCCTCTCGACTCGACTTCTCCCGGTACGACGCGACGCTGACAAGGACGCGACGCACGTCGTCGCGATGTGAAATAAACTCTCGTGCTTCCTGTAATTTGCAGTACCGCCTAAAATCGATCCGTTTAGCTTTCCCGACAATATCCAGGCGGGCGCGCGGGTGCACGTGACCTGCGCGGTCAGCGAGGGCGATTCACCCCTGAAGATTACCTGGCTGAAGGACGGCAGGTCGTTGAAGCCACGGGAAGCCTCTACGCATCATATCGGCGAGTTTGATCTCGCATTGAGGATACAGAGCGCGTCGACCGCACATAATGGCAACTATACGTGCGTGGCGAGCAACGATGCCGCCAAGACATCTCGCACAGCGTCCCTTCTGGTCCATGGTACGCAGCAACCGGCCTAACCGTGAAATGCCGGAAACCCTCGTCGTTTCCTTAACTCCGAAACTCCTCAGAATTTCCCTTAAAGAAAATAAGACGATAACAATTAATGAGTATTATCTCGGACTTTCCATTCTTTTCGTTTTTGGCCGAAAAATAAAAATTTCCTTACAATTATCTTACTTTTTATTTACTGCTGAATAACATTTTAACATACTTCACAAAAATCAGATTGTGTTTTATTTTCGTCACTATGTATGTGAGCAATGTGAAGCTCGAGATGCTCTTGAATTCTCGAATCAATCTCCATATTCCAGCCGTTTTTATTTCCTTAACGGATGCAGTTCTCTTGGTTCTTTTGCTCGGAGTTTATTCCGCTAAAAGCTCTCTTCCCATACTTGGCGGCTACGTGTGTTCCTATTGGCAGTCCCGCGGCGAGTACCGCGATCATATAACGGAGGAAATGGAAAAAAACACGACGGTTCACTATTAATCGACGCGCGACTCTCGTCAATCCAGACCACTTGACCGTGCGAATCTCTCATACAAAGCGCGAAAGATCAATCTGCGATGGAAAAATAACCATCGTATTTTCGATAGAAAAGTAAAAAATGGATTTTCTCACGCAAACTTCTCTCGACATTGAAATGATTTAACTTTTTTTCATGCAAAATGGTGAGATTAGATTGGGCAAGATTTGAAGGGATAAAAGAATGGAAAATGGAAAGGTTTCATCGAAAATTCTCCCGGCGACTAAGCCCTTTCGCGATTATATCGAGTCACTGTTCTATCATAAAAAAGAAGCACAAAAAATAGAGGCGAGATATTTATCACTCAAAGGCTGAAAAATAAAGGACGGTCTACAGCCCAACCGTAGTCGTCGATGTCGACGTGTATTACATCCCTGTAAACGAAATATCCCCTGGCCACCCGCGTGTTTACATTTCCCCGTCGAGGACGAGGGTGGCGCGTGCATTAAAAGCGCTTCTTTCTCCACGAGCGAATCGCTGTGAGCGAGATCACGAACGAAGCTTCTGTCGACGATGGAGCGAATGAACGCACGAACGAATCGCCCAAGGGTGACATTTCCGCGTTTCAACGATGAGCAAAGAACAAACAGGGGAACAAATTGTCCCTCTTGTGTCGCCTACGTGCGTATTTATTTATTTGCGCCTGCCATATATGTGCGAAATAAAATTAATTTACGAGTGCCCGCGCCGTGTTGGAAATTGGTTTTTTCGAAATAATGCCACATATTTATTTTCATTGCTTTTTCGTGAAAATTGAAACTTTGATCAGGTTTTTTTAAAACTTTAAAACACCGGAACGAAAGAAACCTACAAACAATGTACGTGTCTTTCATACCTACGAAGTATTTCTTAAATATTTCAAAATTGCGATTTTCATGATTACACCGGAAAATCTAACTTATTATTTTAAAGCCGCAAATATTCTTCGCGCATTCGCTGTTTTAATTTGAACGGACTCGCGCGGTTGACGTCACTCGTACTCGCTATCAATAACGTCGGTCGCCAATTAAGGATCGTCGACCGCTAAATTATCTTCGCCGAGGGAGAATTCGCGTCTCGTACTACTTGCCGAAACTATGCGACGAAATTTATCAACGCAACGTCTGCCGCAAGAGCTTCTTTGTTGCCTCGCCCGAGAACTCACCGCCATCGTACCATCTCCATTCTATCCCCACCCCTCCCCCCACCTTTCCCTACCTCTTTCTTTTGTATATGTACACGACCGTTTATATGCGTATGTATCTCTCTTCGTGTACATACGCGCGACAGACCTCTTTGGGCATTACTCACGTTACGCTGTGCTATCTAGTTCCCTACCCGCGGTTCCTCAATTATTCTCAAACAACCGCCGTGTTCTGTTCTAATACCCTCGGGGTTCTCGTGCTCTCCGGATGCATCCGGCATATACGTATCATACGGTGCAACGAGGCAAGTTATTATTGTCGTTCCGCGGCATTACACTCGTCGCAATGTACCCTACCCACCCATCTTGCGCACGTCAAAAAGTCGACAACCGGGAATGAAGAGAGATCCCCTCTTGCTCTGCTTGATTGTTTTCACTGCTGTGTATTTCGGAAAGTACATGAGCGTCGAAACATTCGAGAGATGCACCATTCGCTGCAAAGGAAACATACAATTTATAATGCTATTACAAAAGCTTTTCGTCGTCGACGATGCAGGAAGATATCGCTGATTGTTCTCGATTTGCGTAATGGTTAATAAAATAATGGTAAAAAGTTATGTATAAATTACGGTTATTTACGATTACGGTTATATTTATAGAAAATTTCTGTACACATCAAATTAATGGAGCATAAAATATATGCTCCATGAATGAATGTTATTAATATTAATTGCGTAAATCGAGAACTGCTTTTATCGCTATCGCGTTTAACGTTAATGGAATAATATTTCTCACTGCGTTATTTTTATTTTCTCTACCTTCAATTCAATATTATATTTTAATTTTAGTACAAATACACTTACGTGACTACACAATAGATATAACACTGTAAATGTGTATTGTCGAGTAGATAATAACATCATCCTTGAAGTCTACGTAATAATAGAATTACGTAAGTCGAGCATTATCGATGCTGACAACCATTTTCACGCGAAACCGTTTGCGTTATAATGTAAAACATTATTCATACAATAATGAACACTGCTATTTTTTTTTGGCAATTTTAACGAGATTTAAAAAATCCGGAATTTGTTCAACCTTAATTTGTTCAGTCCTTTTTAGAAGTTGAACTCGGTCCACAGATCCGCCGTTGTTAACCGGTCCGCGAAACTAATCCCAAAGAGCCGAACTACTATCTCAACAATTTCGCCCGCGCGACAGCGTGTTTCTCCGTCGCGCAGACCAACCAGTATCCGGGCTTGGTGAACGACGGCGGATAAGTTTTATCCGCGGCACGATGTCGACTCGGCTGTATGCAAATACAGCGGTACTTACTTCGCGCAAGCTGACTCTCGTGATTCTGACCAACTTGCGATTTTAACCCTACGTTAAGCTAAGCGGAAAAGTTTTCTCTAGGTGACACTCAGGATGGAAGACGCGCGTGACAGGGCTCGACCAGCAGCGGCCGATCGCTCGGACTCTCAACAATCCATCTCCACACGTACGCACACGTGCACGCACACTCCATTCACACTCACAATCACCTGTTTTTCTCTCTTTTTTTGTGCAGTTCCGCCTACGATAGCTCCCTTTAGCTTTAAGAAGGACTTGTCGGAGGGCCTGCGGGCCCAGGTGACCTGCATGGTCGAGAAGGGCGATCCGCCGTTCACGATCATCTGGTCGAAGGACGGCGAACCGATTTCTGGCCCCGGCACGGCGGCCGCCGCCTACGGGCCCGCCGTCGCTGCCGCCGCAGCCGCGGCCGTTAACGATCCCCGACAACACTCGCAGACACCCCCGGGGCTGCGCGTAACCAACATTGACGCCCATTCCAGCGCCATAGTTATCGAACGCGTCACCGCCGCGCATACTGGCAACTATACTTGCCTGGCACGCAATTCGGTGGCCGAGGTCCTCTGGACGGCCGAATTGATTGTTCGTGGTAAAGTAAAGCGATCGCATCATAAGTACCGCACCGCGAAAAACGCACCGAGTCTGTGTCTTTTTTCTCTCTTTCTCACGTCACTGTTTTGCACCTGGCAGCGCACCATTGTCTTCGCGACGGTGTAGCAACGGCAAACGGATAAGTTTGCGGGATGAAACGGTTTGTAATTCTTATCCGGTCGACATAAATATTTAGAAAAGAAGAATGCAACTATAATCGCTTTTTGCAAATGATCTGTGAATGCTAAAAGCGACTTTTGTCGTTCACAATAAAATCATCACCATGCATTCAAATGATAATCGTATAATAAAATTTTTATTGGCAGCAGTTTAATCAAACATTGTCAATGGAGAAAATAATTAACAACAGGGAGTGTAATAACTTCATTGCTGAGAAATTGCATTGCTAGCGATCCGTACAATACTGCATTGTATGGGAATTTTTCAATTGACTTTCGCCGTAATAAAAATATTAATTTAATTAAATTAAATTATATTGTTTATATATATTCATATTTTTATATTCATAAAGTTAATATTCAAAATTTAAACTATTTTTACAAAAAAAAATAGCATATGTAATTTTATTTGTCTGAATAAAAGAGAGAATTACACATTAACGTAAATAATATAAATATATCTTTATAGCTAACAGGTATTTTTAATGTAAAAAACATTACAAACTTTATTCTGTGATAATTAATGTCTGATCATAACTGGCATTATCTACTATCTACTGAATCCTCAGACTGCAGCTTAAAAATACGCGATTTTGATAAATTACGGAGAGTACAGAGCTATTGTGGGATTAATTTTCTAGTGATAAAGCCGGGGGCTTCGCGAAATAAAAATCGTGAAATAAAAACGATAGCGGATTTGCGATTTAAATGCCAAGTCATCCTCCGATCCTATTCGTGCGGTTGCTACATCATTGCCACGTAAGCGCAGCCGCAGCAGCAGCAGCAGCAGCAGCCACCGCAACCGTCTGTCGGAAAGTAGCATGATGCGAGAGTCACACTAGGGCTGCGCTTGGATTTTGCAGCCTAGCGGATATCCGGTTATCGATGACGATATCGATTGCGTTCGCCCACACTCACGCGCGTTCTCACGGAATTCAAATACAGGGTAGCTTTGTGCACGAAAGTAATATCCGTCCCGTAAATTATGGCACGTACGCCGTTAAGCGAAATTCTCGTGTGCACGTTATTATTAGCAACGTCGAGCTATAATGACGGAAAATCGCATTAAATCTCTCGTCGATTCTTGACCATTATATTTTGCCAATACTTATTTACGACGTAATAATCATAACGTAATTAATTAAAATATATAGTGTAATTAATTAACATGTATTTTCCAAAAAAAATATAAAAGAGATTTGGAACATGTGAAATTTTGAAAAAACTTAAAGTAGAAAAAATGGAACTAATATTGACACAATTTCTAAAATAATTAATAAATTGTAATAGCTAAAATAATAAAAATGAGAAGACCTATTAATAATCTAATCATGTTGATAATTGCAAAAAACAACATGTCGTATTTCTGAATATTTAATTTTGCTATATATTAACATACACACACACACACACACAGAGACACACACACAGACTATAGAATCTTTGTATAAATTTAAATCTATATATTTCTGAGGTCCCTGAAGACTATTTTTAACTATTCATATTACACTTCTTGTACAATTCCTCTGTTTAAATTACGCGGACAAAACTTTTAACGTCTAACAGGTCTCTCTTGAGATATTCTAAATAATATTCTCTACGTTTGAAAATGTTCAGAAAATTGAAGTATATCACTGATAATTCTTTTATTTTCAATACTGCAGTATTTTGGCATTTTGAATCATTTACAATAAAATTGGGTAAAATATTTTTCAACAAAACATTCTATTTGTTCATTAAATTCGCGAGAGCCGCGTGCGAAATTTTTCTGCAAGCATATCGCGCGCACTAGCCGGATATTCACGAGATACGGGACAATTCGCTATTCGGATAAACGGGCAACGGGTATTGTCCGGGTAAACGCAGCTCTAGAGTCCTTTTTTCGAGACGATACGCGCGAAATAATGCAGCAGCAGCAGCAGCAGCAGCCGCCGCCGCCCAGCCAGTAACCCGTCGCACCAACGCACTTGAGCACAGCATAATATAGCGTTATTTCACCTCCACGGTCACCGTTATATATTTTCTATCTAGATATGTATCTAACACGAGCGCACCGTCCAACTCGCACTTCTCTCTGCCCCTTATCGCGATAATTAAGTACTGCGATCGCACGCTCTACGCCACAAGCGCATTAATTCCGCGAGTGTCAAACGCAGTGGTACCCAGCCCTTTAACAACTGAGACTTTCAAAGAAAGTAATGTGTCTTGCTCCTAGAAATTTACATTTTGATATCAAGCAAGGAAGAATATTTATTAATTTACGTCTTAGAAGTGCTCTTTTGACGCGTTGGGGACCGCTGAACTGATAAGTGCAGAGGCACAATAAAATTTAAATGAGAAAAAATGTGTAGAATACGATATTAAATTCCGAGGTGAGGTCCACATGTTTATCGTATTCAACACGATCGCAGTAGTCTAGAATGAAAAATGTACTGCATGCGAGAGCCAATACAGGCACTTCACGAAATTCGGCTTCGCATATATAGCACAACGTCTTGAGCCATGGCGAGTTAGATGAGCCGGCAGCAGCAACAGCAGCAGCAGCAATCTCGTAGTTCAATTTGGAGCACCGAGTCACGTTCACTTCACCCAGCACACGCATATCTGCACTGACACGTTTCTCAAGTTATTTTTCTCTTTTATTTGCTCCCGAGCGCCACTAATCCCTTGGCACCGACTCCTCAATGCGACGCTCACTCCTCGTTTCGTTTCTTTTTCTTATCTATTTTCTTTTTTCCCCGCTCTTACACCAAAAATTCGTATGCCACCTATTCTGCCTCGCACCGAGACGAATCGGTCTCGTCTGATCCGAACGTTTGCCGGAAAAAGAATAAAAATTGCGAAATTATCATTAAGTTAAAGAAAAGAATCGAAAAAAGTCACATTTATCAGATTTTAACTAATAATTATGATTGAAATATTAAAATCAAAACATTTATGTTCAAAGAAAGAAAACTTAAGCACTCTCTAAATCTTAAATGTAGTTTTGTAAAAGCATACTATCTTAAAACTACTGTTTTTTTTAAATTATTTTAATAATTTTAATAAATATATATCTTTATTATTGCTATTAAAAAAATTTATCACTATCTTATAGATTTATCTAATCATATGTCAATTATGAATCTACCAGACTTTCCAAAAATACAACGTACAATAAATTTTTCTATATAACTCGCAACAATATACAATAAACATATTACACGTAAACTATAGTCTCTTCTGACTTGACACTTCAATTATGAATCACAATCGATGATTTGTTTGCATAAATGTGACACATACAAATGAGTATGCGAATAATTTGGCACGCAAACGTTTAGTTCGGACGGGACGCGCGTTTTGCGCACTTTATGTATATTTGTACGCATCAATTGATCGTGCACATTCGTATATGGTATTGGATTCGCACAGCACCGATTTATCGTATCACGTATATTGTTTTGTTCTCTGTGGTTATCGCGGTGTTTATCGTCGATATTATTTTACCATTTGTCGCCGACGGAAAAATCTTCCGTCACGCGCACGTTTAGCATCGTTTTTCTCTGCACTCTTCTCCCTCTTTCCTTCCAGCTTATCTTCCCCTCTGTCTCTCTTTCTGTGCGTCTATGCCTCTTCCTCTCGCGGACAGAGAGACTGAGAGGAAGTAATTCGCCAATGCATTTGGCGGGACAGTCCGTAATTTTTATCAGCAAAACTTTTGCGCCGTTTATCCGCAATCCCGAGAGGACACTCCGGTGCCTCTCTCTCGCGCGCCTTCAAATCCTATTTCTCTTTACTTTCGCGGCAGCTGAAGTAGAAAGTTGCAGTAGGCCAATCCTCTCCCTGGGAACTTTTCGCTCTTGCCTCGGCGCAATAAGCTTAGGTAGAGAAACGCGCGACGATGTCCGGAAGAGCGTTTCCGTTCGTTGCACGAATGATTCAGTGTTTTCAATAAAACGCGGTATGTGCGCCGTTAAATATTTAATAGTTGTTTAATACATTTTTCACTTTATCATGTTTTTTTCGCAAAAACATTAAGAAATTACTTTTAGTTAATGAAAAATTCAAACGTAACGATAGCTAATCGGGAGATTAAAGGGATTAATTTCAAAGTATTTTCAGTTTAAGTGAAGATAATTAATTGAAACGCATTTAAATTAATTTTCTTGCGCAAAGTCTATTTAAAATTAAGGAATACAATTTCGAGACCGCAGCATAGTCGATTATAGACGCGTTACTTCCGGACCACGTCGCTGTAGTGGCCACCGCGCATTTGAACCCGTGACAATCGATTAATGATCGCACATTGTGGATCAGTGCCGCCACGTTGGGTGGTGGAGCCGCAAGACGCCCGCGCATCCGAAGGGATGCCTCGGTTGAGCCTGCATTGCCATGCCGACGGGTTTCCGCCGCCGTTGGTCACGTGGCGACGCGGCAGCGGCAAGCAGCCTGGCAATTACCACGACATAGCCAGCCACGAGCACATGCAGGACCTGAGGATACACTCCAACGGCTCGCTGGTGTTCGGCCGGGTGCAAGAAGATCACGAGGGCTTTTATCTGTGCGAGGCCGTAAACGGCATCGGAGCCGGGCTCAGCAAAGTCGTTTATCTCACCGTCAATGGTACGTTCGACTCTAACTAACTTGTAGTTTCTAAAGATTTCTATTATTATTATAACGATACACACTGCGTATGAATGGTTGTCGTCTCTCAACGATTGACTCACTTCTCTTCCAAAGCGGCAATATATTTTTAAAACATGGCAGTTATTAAACTTAATAACGAGATATATATAATTTTTACGATAGATATGTGAAGCGTTATTACATCTCCCATTGCTGGTTTTACTTACTGAAAATAATTTAATGCTGAAGTTCTGTGAAATATATCTCTCGCGAAATTCCTCTCGGAAGGATTAGTCTTCTACTAATTGGTGATTAGCCCTAATTGGATCTCGCAGAAACTCCAAGTATTATCAACAGTGTAACAATTGGCTCATGTAGTCAATTAGATCCACTTTATCCTACAGAAGCAATGAGAAAATATTTTCTGATAAAATAATCAAATTGCCTTGAGACTCTATGGAGTTTCTGTAGAACATGATCTCTTGATTTTCAGAGCAAACATTACGATAAAACGCATTCAATGATATATCATGTAAGATAATATCAAATTTACACAAATTTATAAATACTTTATTCTCTCTATTTATAAATTCTTATTATTTAATCTTACACTCTAAATTTTTCAATTGACCGATTAACAAATAAACAATTTCGATTACTAATGTAGCTACTATGCAATTTAAATTGATTTTTTTCATAAACTTAATTTTTAATACAATAAACTGTAAAAGAATAATATAATTGACAAATAATTTCGTCGGTCTGATCAAATCCGTTATTTTCCACTAGCGCCGCATAAAATTCCGATTTTATCAAAAAACGAATTATTTATTTATTCGAATGTGATTTTTTATTTAAAAATACCTGTATGCTTTTCGATCAACTGCATACACTCAAAAAAATGATCTTGCAATAATAGCTAAAATTTTCTAGGTGTAAAAAATTAACTAAAACAGATAAATGATTAGCAACTGTTGTGATATTGCATATGTAATTACTTAATCAGTTTAGATGACAGAAACAGAATATATATATGTATTGTTTGTGAACTTTAAAAAGAAAGTTTCTCTAAAGCGCCTATCTATATAAGATCAATCACGTATTAGATCATGCAATGAATAACATTTAGCAATGGTACCTAAATTTTTCAGAAGCTATTGCTAGAACATTACTGCTATAAATTCTATATGTGACAAACAATGTTTTCACAGATACGAAAAATAGCGATACATTCTTGTTGCGATATCTAGAAATCTAACTACATCAGCGAAATATTTTTTTGAGTGTAGCGTGCGCAAAAAGTCTTTTAAATAATGTTGAATAACATTGTTAATACACTTTTGTTGCATAATACATCTTGAGAAGGTGCAACAGGTTATGCTAGTGTGTATTTCTAGCGTAAATATGAATTCTAGCCCTGTGTGTGTGTGTCGCGTGCGCGCGCGTGTGGTTCGATTCCTAGTATGGAGCTTCACATCATCAGTCATCATGATCATATTGCCTTATCAGACTGTAGCGTCATTAAGTCTCTTTGTTGACATCGGATATTTAATTAAATAAAATTATTATAACTGCTATATATATCGTACGTAATTTGATACACACATTTCGTACACGATACATATTATTATATAATTCGGTAAATTATCATAAATTAAACGTATGAGAGAGAGAAATCATAACTTCGCAAAAA